CAAAATATGCCCAATAACTTTACACTGAAAACTACAGAACAATGCTGAAATAAAGAAATCCTTAATAAAAGTAAAGGTGTACAACGTTCATGGACTGGGAGCCATTATTGTTTAGATGTTGGTTTGTATCAAGTCAATAAACAGAATCAATGCAACCTCAATCAGAACCAGTTGGCTTTAAAAAAACAAACAAACAAAAAACAAAAAAACAAAACAAAAAAAACCCTAAAAGGTGGATTCTATATTTTATATGAAAATGCAAAGGTCCTAACATAGTCACTACAGCATTACAAAAGAACAACAAAAATGGAGGACTTACACAACTTGATTTCAATATTTACTATAAAAGATACAGCAATCAAAACAATATGATACTGATTTAAAGACAGACACTAGGTCCATCAATGAAAACCCAAGAGAACTAAGACTTACACGAACATGTACCAAGAGAAATGAAAAAAAGACTTGTACAACCATTTTCCTAACCACTTTATTCATAATCATTGAAAGAGACAACACAAATAACCACAAAAAGGAAAATGAATAAATAAATTTTAAGATATTAATTAAAATGACTGAACATTAATGAATAGGGAAAAAGAATGAACTGTTGATACATTCAACCAACATGGATGAATCTCAAAACATGTTGTGCAAAAGCAGTCAGACACAAGAGTTACATATAACTCCATTTACATGAGGTTCTCAAGGGACAACGACAATTTATGAAGAAAAAATATGAGAACAATTGTTGTGGAGGGAATTGACTGGCAAGAATTACAAAAAAAACTCCTCAGGATGACGAAAACATTTGGTGTCTTGATGGATTATGGATTATACAAGTTTATGCAGTTGTCAAAACTCTGAACTACAAACTCAGAATCTGAGCATTTCACTTTAAACTTTTCCTCAATTAAAAACAGAATGCATATTTTCACTCAAAAACAATCTGCCTACTATAACCCAGGTATTGAAAACACAAAATTTAAAGGCACGATACAGAAAAAAATATCTTAAAATATAATGACAAGACAGTCCTGCAAGCAAGGAAATGCAAAGTTATTGTAGTTACCATAAAGAAAATCACAAGAAAGAGAAATCTTTTAAGGTGAAACGTGAACAACAGGAAATTGCCAAATAAATAATATTATAGGCATATACGACATTAACAAAAGTAACAGAAAAAAAACCATAGTGGACCTAGGCAACTAAATTAATTTCATATGCTTAAAGTATAAAATGGTGGGGAAAGGGGTTGAACTACAGTTTTTAAAAAAAAGTTGGATAAGGGACAAGAGTATGATGGCTATTTCCGCCCGTGCAAAAAAGTACATTTTAGCTGTTTAGTAATGAGGAACCACTAGAGAAGTTTCAGTAAGGGAATGACATGTATACATCTCGTTTGGAAAGATGACAGTAGAAACTATCTGAAAGATACACTGGAGAAGGCTCAGGCTACTGTCAGTCCAATAAAAATGTCAGTCTATTGCAATCTATAGACTACTTCATCCAACAAAAACAGAATGCGCACTCTTTAAAAGCTCACACATAACATTTCACCAAGGTGGACAACATTCTGGGCCATAAAACACAATCTAATAAACTTAACAGAATAGCAATCACACGGCGTCTGCTCTAAGACCACAAGAGAATTAAACTAGAACTAAATAACAGAATGGTAGCTAGAAAATATTTCAAAATACTTGGATATTAAACGACACACTTCTAAACAATAATGGTGCAAAGAAGTTTGTTTTTTGTTGTTTTGTTTATAGAGTTTCGCTCTGTCACCCAGGCTGGAGTGCAGTGGCGCAATCTTGGCTTACTGCAACCTCTGCCTCCAGAGTTCAAGTGATTCTCATGCCTCAGTCTCCCACATAGCCGGGATTACAAGTGCATGCCACATGCCCGGCTAATTTTTGTATTTTTAGTAGAGATGGGGGTTTTGTTGTGTTGCCCAGGCTGGTCTCAAACTCCTGAGCTCAAGTGATCCACCCACTTTAGCTTCCCAAAGTACGAAGATTATAGGCGTGAGCCACCACACCCAGTCCAAAGAAGGAATCTTAACAGACATTTTAGAATATATTGAACTAAACGAAAATAAAAACACAACTATCAACATGTGTGCAATGTATCTAAAGCAGTGCTTAGAGGAAAATTTATAGTATGAATGTATATATTAGAAACAAAAAATCTAAAATGAATACACTTCCACTTTAGGAAAGTAAAACAAGAAGAGCAAAGTAAATCCAAAACAAGCAGAAAAAAATAATAAAAATGAGAGTAGAAATAAATGAAACTGAAAATAGGAAATAGAGTAAAAAAAAAAAAAAAAAAAATCAAGAAAACCAAAAGCCGTTTCTTTGAAAATATCAGTAAAATGAGCAAGCCTCTACCACTGGGCAGGGGGAAATGCAGAGTTATTCGAATATGAGTTTCAGTTTCAGTTTTGCAAGATGAAAAAGTTCTAGAGATCTGTTGTACAACGTCAATATAGTTTACGCTACTAAAATGGACACTTAAAAATTGTTGCTCTCTCCACTGCTCGCATTCTCACTCTGCCATGCCCTGCTCTGAAGAGACACCCACCATTACCCCCGGCAAACAGGCCTGGTTTGCAGAGGAGGGCAGCATGCAGCTCCATTTTGCCTCACTCTCTGAGCAGGCCACAACCCTGACTCCGGGATCCACACAGCCCAAAGGCTATGACCTCGACGGTGCCTACGATGATACAATACCACCTACGGAGAAAGCTACAGTGAAAATGGGCATTCAGATAGCTCTTCCTTCTGGGTTTTATAGAAGAGGGGCTCCATGGTCTGGCTTGGCTGCAAAACACTTTATCGATGTAGGAACTGGTGTCATAGACGAAGATTACTGAGGAAATGTTGGTGCTGTACTGTTTAATTTTGGCAAAGAAAAGTTTAAAGTCAGAAAAAGTGATCGCATTGCACAGCTCATTTGTGAATGAATTTTTAATCCAGAAATAGAAGAAGTTCAAGCTTTGGATGATGCTAACAGGCATTCAGAAGACTTAGGTTCTACCAGAAAGAATTAAAATTTATGCTAAGAATAGAAAATGAGAACTCATACTTTTTTCTTAAAGAGTTTTTGCTTAAAGCATTTTGGTAAAACTTCTGTAATCTTAATAGCTTTACCTTCTAAAAATACTGCATTTTCTTATGATCAAGGAAAAGAGTACCTCTGCTTAGATCACAGAGAAACTTTGTTTTTCTGCTGATAGTTGTATGTAAATCTTCTTTGTCCTGATATAAGGCAAACAGTGTCTTTTTAAAATCAAATGTACATCAATTACAGACCCAAAAAAACCCTATATAATTTAACTCAGTTAAATGATACTTCACAAAAAAAAAAAAAGGAATTAAGACAGTAATTTTTTTTAAATTACTGTCTTAAAACAAACAAACAAAAAAGAGAAAACACAAATTACTAATATCAGAAATGAAAGAGAGGACATCACTATAAACTCCTGGACATTAAAAGGATAATAAAAGAATACTATGAACTTTGTTCCCACAAATTTGACAACTTTATCAAAATGGACCAATTCCTTGGAAGACACAATCTGTCAAAACTCACACAAGAAGAATTACATAATCTGAAGAGACCTACATTTATAGGAGAAATCGAATCAACAATAACCTTCCAAAACAGAAAGCACCAGACCCAAAGCAGTTCACTGGTGAATTCTACCAAACATTTAAGGAAGAAATTATATTAATTCTCTACAATCTCTTCCAGAAGACATAAGCAGAGGGAATACTTGCTAATTTATTCTATGAGATCAGTATTACCCTAATACCAAAAACAGACAAAGACATCAGGAAAACTATAGACTAATATTTATCAAGAACACAAATGTAAAAATCCTCAAAATATTATCAAATCAAATCCAACCACATTTAAAAAGAACTATATACCACAAACAAGCAGGATTTATTCCAGGTAAGAAAGTTGCTTCCACATAAAAAAATCAATTAATGTAATCCATCACATCAACAGGCTAAAGAGGAAAAAGTTATTGCAATGGGCTAGGTAAAGCTGGTGAACGTCTATATCAGAGCACAACTACAAGTAGTTATCCATTCATTCACACCATGTGCCAACACCTGGACTACAGTGAAAAGTAAGACAAAACTCCTGTCCTTACAGTCTACAATCTATCAGAGAAACATCGTACAAGTAAATCACAAGTCCCTGTCACAGGGACTCAACCTAGAGTTAAGAAGAAGAAGTCAACTTATATCTACAGGTTATAAAACAGGTATGAGGTATGACTGACGGTATTATCTCAAGCAGGATATATTAAAGTCTTAAATAAAAAAAAAAGTACATGTTAGATGAACTGAAAGGAACCCAGGTTTGATATCATAGAAAGAAGAGACAAGAATTTACATGACGGTTGTGGTTTCACTGATTACTGGGTAAAAATAAAGGTAGAAGAAGGAAAAAGATATGGGCGCTTATGAAACATCTTAATGTCTGGGGTAGACAGGAAAAAGTAAAGGGCTGATATACTTTAAAAAGATAAACAGATCAAGCAAGTGGAGAACACAAAGAGAACAGAGAATAAGAGCATATTAGAAAAATTTAAGAAGGCAGGAATTACAGAATTCGAAGGAAAAATCCTTGAATGTGTGATCTTTTTCTAGTTATGTTGAAGATTCAAATGTTTTACTCTTTAAGGACAAGCCTAGAAGTTAAATAAAGTATCTTTCAAAATTAAGCATTTAAAATTTAATACCCAAGTAATCCTGATACAGAAAAATGTTATCCTGAAAGAAATAAGCTTCTAAAATAATATAATACAAGAACTTAATTTTGCCTTTCAAATATGATTTATGTCAATATTTTAGTATATCTATTCAAGAACACTATTTATCCCTGAAACACTTCCTGAAATTTCTTCGATGACTTGCAGTATTACTTAACAAGAAATTATGTTTCTAAGTTTAGTATCCTATAAAGGAATTACTTACAGGAACATTAAGTGCATATTGTAGTCCTTGAGGAAGTCTTTCATGTGTTTCCATCTGCTCCTCATCATTTTTCACTGTCTCCTCGTGGACCATGAGTTCATCATGTGATATCATATCCTGTTGTCTCATTTCACTTTCTTGTAACACTTCATCTGCAGCAAGGATCTCCTGGTGAGGCATACTTCGATCTTGAAGTACTGAATCCTGTAGCTCTCCAGACACAGTAGACTGGCCAGACACTCCACCCATTACAACCATTGTCCTGGAAGACTGCATTTCGTCTATGCCGCCACATTTAAGAAACAATCCTTCCAGTTTGTCGTCAATGTTCATGCTTAAGTATAACTGCCTAGAAAGACCAAGTTTGGCAACGAAACATAGTAAATTAGTTTTATATGACTACTTCATTTTTTTTAATTTTCAAATTAAGAATTTGAACAGTCAAATACAAAGATTTTATTCATGTACTTTGGAACTGCCTCCAATTTTAAAATTATAATACCAAGATCGGTTTCCAAAGGCTGGTAAAATAAAACACAAATTTTCATTTTGATATAAAGGCATAAAATCCTAACTACTTTATTATTGAAAAATAAGCCTGACATAAAAGCAAATTAGGGAAAAGTATTTGTAACATCAATCAAGGGATCCGTACTTTTTAATATATTAATAATATATTGAAATGTGTTAAAAATAAAAATATAGATGAATTCAATAAGGAATAAACAGAGAACATCATGAAGCAAATCATTTTTAAAAATTTAGAAATAGTCATTAAACATAAAAAAAGAGTCTCAGTAGTAATCCAAGAAATTACCATTAAACAGCACTATCATATTTCAACTACCAAACTGATAATGACTCTTAAAAAATACATCCAATGTTGAAGTATTAAAAAAAGACACTCATCTACTGATAATAAAAGTATGTATTATATCAACTACTTTCAAAAGTCATTTGGTAGTATGTATCAAAAGCTATAAAGATGTACATATTCTTTGAACAAGGAATTCTACATTTTGGAATTTATCTTGACGAAATAAAAAATGTATACAAAGGTATACACAGAAAACCACTACAGCAGTCATTACCATAATGAAAATGTTAAGTATATTTCAGTTTAGTCACTTCTTTCCCAAATTAATCACATAAGTAATGACCAACTTTGATCACAGTTTTCAGCAGTAAAACACCAAAGCTAAATTCCAACACACTACTGAAATCAAAATACTCTTTCCTTTACTAAGGTTATTGTTAACGGAGAAACCTTTACTGAAATGAACAGCTCAAAACAACCTCATAAACAGCAAAATATACAAATGTATAATTCAAAACTTGCTAATCTTTCTTCCCTGGTACGAGGTGTTATCAGCCTACAATATATACAGTATATCTGTACAAAACACCTTATTTCACTTTTCAAAATCTTTAAGGCAGCAAAGTTAAAATCTAAAGGTCAAAGATTGCTGGGTATGGTAGCTCATGCCTGTAATTCCAACAATCTAGGAGGCCGAGGTAGGCGTATCACATGAGCCCAGGAGTGTGAGACCAGCCAGGGCAACAAGGCAAAACCCCATCTCTACAAAATAAAAATACAATAATTAGCTGGGCATGGTGGCACGCACCTGTGGTCCCAGCTACTTGGGAGACTGAGGCAGGAGGATGGCTTGAGCCCAGGAGGTCGGGGCTGCAGTGAGCTGTGATTGTACTACTGCACTCTGCCTGGGTGACAGAACAAGACCCTGTCTCAAAAATAAATAAATAAAAATAAACGTCAAAGATGTTACATACATCACCAAATATCTGCTCTCTTCAAAAATTTCATTTATCACATTTCTTAGAAAATAAACTAAAACTAAATGAAACACTCCCTTAAGGCTAAAATTTGATTATTCTGACCATTTATTTGGAAATCCTTAAAAATCAATTGGTGAAAAGTATTTGTAACATCAGTCAAAAATTCCATATCCTTAATATATTAAAATACCTTAAAAATAAGAAGAGATGAATTCAATAAAGAATAAACTGACAGGAACACTACCAGACAAATCACTAAAGAAAACTTAGAAACAATCATTAAATATATAAAATAACTATGTTTTTATGTTTTAAATACATAAAACATTGGCCGGGCACAGTGGCTCACGCCTGTAATCCCAACACTTTGGGAGGCCGAGGCAGGCAGATCACGAGGTCAGGAGATGAAGACCATCCTGGCCAACATGGTGAAACCGTGTCTCCACTAAAAATACAAAAAATGTAGCTAGGCATGGTGGCGGGTGCCTGTAGTCCCAGCTACTCAGGAAGCTGAGGGAGAAGAATCATTTGAACCCAGGAGGTGAAGGTTGCAGTGAGCCGAGATCGAACCACTTCACACCAGCCCAGGCGAGAGCAAGACTCCATTTCAAAAAAAAAAATTGGGGGCAGTGCATATATACCTAAGTATATATATTTATGGGGTACATGAGATATTTTGATATAAGCATGCAATGTGAAATAAGCAAATCATGGAGAATGGGGTATCCATCCCCTCAAGAATTTACCCTTTGAGTTACAAACAACCCAATTACATTCTTTATTTTTAAATGTACAATCAAGTTGTTATTGACTACAGTCATCCTATTGTGCTATCAAATAGTAGGTCTTATTCATTTTTTTCTTTTTTTTTTTTTTTTGCCCATTAACCATCCCCACCTTCCCCTTCTCAGCCTCTAGCAACTATCCTTTAACTCTCTATGTCCATGAGTTCAATTGTTTTGATTTTTAGATACCACAAATAAGTGAGAACATGCATTTGTCTTTCTGTGCCTAGCTTATTTCATTTAACATAGTGATCTCCAGTTTCACTCATGTTGTTGCAAATGACTGGATCTCATTCTTTTTTATGGCTGAATACTACTCCACTGTGTACATGTACATTTTGTTTATCCACTCATCTGTTCATACACACTCAGGTGGCTTCCAATTCTTAGCTATTGTAAACAGTGCTGCAACAAACACAGGAGTGCAAATATCTTAATATATTGATTTCCTTTTGGGGGGGTATATGCCCAGCAGTGGGACTGCTAGATCGTATGGTAGCTCAATTTTTAGTTCTTTGAGGAACCACCAAACTTTTCTCCATAGTGGCTGTACTAATTTACATTCCCACCAACAGCATAGAAGGGTTCCCTTTTCTCCACATCCTCACCGGCACTGGTAATTGCCTGTCTTTTGGATATAAGCAATTTTAACTGGAGATGACATCTCATTGTAGTTTTGATCTCCATTTCTCTGATGATCAATGATGTTGAGCACCTTTTCATGCTCATATGCCTGTCTGCCATTTGCATGTCTTTTGAGAAACGTCTACTGAAATCTTTTGTCCATTTTTTGATTGAATTATTAGATTTTTTTTCCTATAGAATTGTTTGAGCTCCTTATATATTCTGGTTATTAATCCCTTGTCAGATGGGTAGTTTGCAAATATTTTCCCCCATTCTGTGGGTTGTCTCTTCACTTTGTTGACTATATCTTTTCCTGTGCAGAAGATTTTTAGCTTGATGTGATTTTTTTTTTTTTTTTACCTAATTGTATGCTTAGCATCAAGCCAAAACAATAAGTATTGAGGAAGTAGTAGTATTCTAGGGACAGATAATATTTTGGAAAAAAGGCATAAAGTGCTAGAGTGAGAGACTTGGAACAGGAAGAGAGCACACCTTGATACAGAAGTAGTAAAGTGGAAATACTCCAAATGAAAAACAAATGACTTCTTTAAAAATCTTCCTGAAAACCGACCACATGCAAAGAAAAATAAATCTCTCTTCCTTTTTACATAAGTTCCTTATTCCTATGGCCCCAAATTAAGGCATATATTGGGAGTTAAACTGTCTGGCCTGGAAACTGTTTTTGAAATACCCTGAAATTTCCCCAAAATACCAGAAAGTACTAAGATATCAAAACAAACTCCAATATCAATGGATACAAGGTTTTAAATAAGACAAAGCTTTAAACTGAGCTTTGGAAATATCTATCAAAATGAAAAGTATATGTACTCTTGATTCAGCAATCTCACTGCTAGAGATATATAGTATACAACCTTATGGGTTTATTCATAGACACTCATCAAAGAAGAAAGTACAAGGATGTTTGCTACAACTCTTCAACGGGAAAAGACTGGAAACATATTTAAGCATCCATAGACAGGGGACTTGTTACATTAATTATGACTCAACCATACAATGGAACATGTGCAGCCATTAAAAGGAATGATGTTAGCTTTATGTGCTGGTTCTCCAAGATATATTAAGTGAAAAAAAATCAAGGACAACTATGTAGATAGTAAGATCCTTTCTATACATACACACACACACACACACACACACAGAGAGAGAGAGAGAAACATATATACACACGCACACATATATATATATATTTTTTTTTCCTGGTAAGAAACTTAACTGGAATTTGGAAAATGAAATAAGAAAGGATCTTCATGAAGAAGACTAATTTTGACTTTTTATTATTCCTTTTTCATGTACCAACATCTTTTCTTTCTTTAAGGTTACAGCAAGCTAACAGGGTATGAGTAACACAATTGACTCTAGGTCTTGTTTTTCTTCTTTATTTTAAAACAAAGACTTAGTGTTATTTTAAGACATGTTTCAAAGACAAAGTGAGTCATACCTCTATCATATACCTCAACCTGTCTCTGGCCGGGAAATTTTACCAGGTCCATGGAAAAAGGGAACAGGACAAAGCTACACTTATTAATTAAAAAAAGATAAAGTAGAAAAAACACACTTGTATTGTCCTGGCACCTCCCTTCTCTGCCATTATGGTTTTAACCTTTCCCACTGAAACTCTTCAGTGGTCTCAAGTCAAAGCTCTCACGTGCCTCACTGCATATTCAAAAATCCAAATACAACAAAAGGTTCCAAGCTCAAAAGCTAACACATGTCATATCCCTCCCCTAATTTCATTATTTTTAGGGAGGATCAGCTAAGTGTAAAGAAAGAAAACTGAGGTAGTCAAGCCACACTAATATGTGAATAATTAACTGTCTCTTCCTGTTAACTCCTCAAAAAGCCAACTGCTTTCTAATCCAAATGTGTGTATAATTAATGGAAAGTCAGGGGTTAGGGATACGACACAGAAGAGGAAAGAAAGAATGCTTCCTTTAAATCTTATTACTCACATGGAAGACTGATTTGGAAGGGGAAAAAAACTAAACAATTAATTTCAGCTTCAAGGAACCCCTGTCCAACTGAAGAGGAAAGAAAATACGTGGAGTAATAAGCCACGCTGAGCTCCCTGTGAAGACCCTTTATCTCGTAGAGACCTTAGGCAGCTGACACCACAGAGTACAAAATGGCAGCACTGTTAAGAACCAAGACGGGCTGGACAATGATGTCCGAGGGCTAATTCAGCTAAGAATGAGAGGCAATCCTTCCTCTGCACTTCAAGTTACCCACAGCAGAGAATGGTGAAAACTACAACAGAGCAGGAAAGAGAAAGGAAGGAGACCAACTAAGGCCAATTTCTCCTAAATCTCCCTTTCACAGATTACTTCAAATTCTGCATTCTTTCCCCGCTTCCATGATTTATTCTTCCCTCATCACCATCCCTCTGCGAGAGAAACCGGCTACAGGGGTATTTAGGGGGCCACAACACAACTTCCCAGTTCCATTGAATTTCCCCTCCCCGCTCCCACTCCCAACCCCACACACACCTAACATCCTTCCTATTGACACGTTTAGTTCAGCTGTGTAAAAGTCTAACTGTAGTGACTTAGGTAACCGTCTAGTCATTTAAGCCTAGTGACAGAGGGGTACTTAAAAAGAATGTAAATTATCTGCCATTACTTTTCTCCTGTCTACCAGAAGAAATAGTTGACTCTTCTTGTGGTCATCTTCGAATTTAATGTCTCTAATCAATTACGTGTAAGTAATTAAAAACTAAGCTTTACAGATTTATATTAAGTTGAAACAGAGCAAACAGTTTTGGGTCAGGGCTTTTAATAAGGAATTAAATACACAGGCTTTTAACACAAATGTTTTTTGACAATTATTTCCAAAACTTGGGGAACTGTCTGGGCTTGTCTTCAGAGGACAAAATTAACAGACGCATTACAAATGGACAAGTTGGGTACTATTACTCATTTTTAATCAAATATACAAGGCTCTTAAAAATGCTTCCTTGTTCTACAAGGGCCAATTAAAAATCAGGGAAAAAAAATGCTTGCGAGGTTTTCTTAATGGGAGTTTTATACAATTAATGGGGTCTTTCCAAATTAGTATGTTTACGTCTGTATTCTAAAATTCAGAAATTATGAAAACCTGGAGAGGAAAGACAACTAATGTGTGCTGAAATGTAAGACACTGTGCTGGGCACCTTTAAATATATTGCCTTACTTAATACTTACAATAACCCTCAAGACAGTAACAGCATATCCCCATTTAACAGACAAACTGGGGCTTACCCAAGGATGCATAGCTAAGAAGTAAACTGGGATTTCAAACCAGACTTAGCTGACTCAATGCACTTTTTACCTTATCACACTATTTCCTGACTTTAAAAGGCCCTGGACACATTAGGAAGTAGTTGAACTCTTATTGCCCTCTCACCACCTGCTCTTAAGGCCTCTCTATCATCATTGCTTGGCTTGGCAAAGCAATCAAACTGTCCTTAGCTGACTACTCCATCTCATGGCTACCATGGGAGAATGTTCTGACACAGAATCCCCTTTTCTTCTGTGGGAGGACTCGACACTTTCCACATTTTCTGTTTTCCAATTTCTTTTTTTTTTTTTTTTTTTTTTTTTTGAGAGGGAGTCTCGCTCTGTCGCCCAGGCTGGAGTGCAGTGGCGTGATCTCAGCTTACTGCAAGCTCCGCCTCCCGGGTTCACGCCATTCTCCTGCCTCAGCCTCCCGAGCAGCTGGGACTACAGGCGCCCGCCACCATGCCCGGCTAATTTTTTGTATTTTTAGAGATGGGGTTTCACCGTGGTCTCGATCTCCTGACCTTGTAATCCACCCGCCTCGGCCTCCCAAAGTGCTGGGATTACAGGCGTGAGCCACCGCGCCCGGCCTTCTGTTTTCCAATTTCTATCTGTTACTCATATCTCAGTGAATTTCTCCTCAGCCATTCTTTCTTTTTCATGGGTTTAAATATATCTTCTTAAGCTACCTTCCTTCCTCTGTTTTCTCAAAGCCTTACCAGGAAAATCTCTCTACCTTCCCATTTCCAATTGGAAATTTAAAAATAATCCTAAATATGGCTAATAAATGTAAAACCAGTCAGTGCTAATGATACACCTGTATCAAAAAAAGAGGGCTGTACAATTTAAAATGAAAACAGATTTGAAGGCTTGTGCTATATGCTCTAAAATTTTTTAAAGCACCAAGTTCCCTTTCAGAATGTATATGAACTTCCATGTGCCACTTATTACCTTTAATTAATCTGCATTTGAGCATGAAAGAAATAAATATTTCCCACTTAGAGATCCTCCATTTCTATGTATTGAGTTTGGTAGTAATATTATTTTCCATAAACTTTTTTGAATAATATGGAACTTCAACTATGAGTCAAAGCAGGTTATAATAGGCAAGCTTCGGAACCTAATCATCGTCTTCTGTATAAAAAGAGTAATTTTCAACTTAAAATATTCTCACAAATTCAGTAACACCTCTTCCCCCGACTTTGTAACAGAACCTATCCATTCTAAAATGAAATTTCACTTGCAAGCCAAAAGAGAGGCACTCAAAGGAACCTGTTCTGAAAACAGGTAAAAGAAAAAAAGCTAGATTTCACAAATTACTTCTGATCCAAAGCACTTTGTTATTTGCAGGATGCCAGTTACATTCACTTGGATATTAACATTTCTAACCTATGTTTCTAACTGTGAGAAATTACACTTTAAAAATATCAGCATTAGAAATACAAGTATCAATGAGCCTCCAAATCATTTGGTGAGATGAAACCCATGATTAATACCAGAACCTTTAACAAATTTGCTATTTGTTATTCTGAAGAAGTTTTGCATTTGCTTTCATCCTTGAAAAGTACAGTTTTGATCTAAGCAGAAACTACTTCATCTCTTATTAAAAAAACAAAATCTATTTCTTGTCTAAGTACATTCAAAGACCTCTTCAGATATATTTCTGTATAACTACCATTTTGTATCTATAAAACATACCTTGTAAACTATGTTAATTTTTAAAGTACTACTATTTCAAAATATCCTAACAGGAACATCATTTATACAATGGGACACAAAGGCTTCTCTGATCAGTGCTAACAACAATAAAGGATGTTTAAATAAATACCTGTTTCAATAGCTGCTAACACAACTATTAATCAGAAAACTTACACACTAACAATAATCATTTTATATAATACGACTTCAAAAACCTAAAAAGTTAAAAAAAAAACTATTTTTCACCACAGAAAAATAATTTATAAATATTTGAATAAGCCAAAGTTAATAGGCATTTCTATACCACACTGAAGCCCCTCTCAAATGAAACAGAATCTAGGCATATTCTGCATTCCAAATATTTATTATCTGTTCTGTAAAACAATGTAACAAGAAGATAGTAGTATTTAAAATACTAAAATATCAAATTTACAGAAATTCAAACAGTTTAAGAAACAGCTATAATTTATCTTAACAAGAAGAGGGGGAGGGAAAAGGTAAAAAAAAAAAAAAAAGTTCCCACAAAGCAGAATCCTACATTCTGTTGGATCTAGTTATTGCATCCATTACATTTTATGCCAATATCAACAATTCAAACATTAATATTCAAACTATAAAGTTTCTGTATTCTTACATGATCAAAAGAAATATTTAAAAATATTTTTAAAAACTTCTTAAAACAAAATGTCCCTGTATACTATGAACAAATGTTAAACACCTAATTTTTTTTCAATTAAATGAGATGGGACTGGGCACATACCACTATGCCTAGATTGCTAATGGTTATTTTTAATACATACTATACAGTAACCAAGACTCATTCTAGAACAACAACAAAAAAGTTAACTGTTTAAATCAACAGCACTTCTTTTTAATGGAAAATATATCGGACTCAAACCTTAATGTGACAGATACCTGGCTATCTCCCCAGAATCTGTTCCCTCTTTCTTATCCAGTAATAAAAATTAAGTGCAACATATGGCTGCCTAAATCAGAGTCACTTACTTCCCAGCCTCCTTTGCAGCTGGTTGTGACATGTGACAAAGTTAAAACCAAAAGGATCTGAGTGAAAGTGATATACACAAACTCCTCTTAAAGGTAAACAGAATGCCGTTCTCTTTTTCTTCTTATCAGCAGACACAATGGTAACCATTCTCACCCACAATATAGAAACTGCACATAAGAGCAGAGCAAGACAAAGGAGCCCTGGTATATAGTGATTCTGCAGCCTCCATATACTCTCAAGATAGTTTACACAGACTTTTCAAGTAAATTCAAATATATTTCTACCTTTATAAGCCTCAGTCACAGTAGCGAAGCCTATATACTTAAGTGATTACTGAATTATCTATAAGACTGCTTCCTTATATTAGTGCAGGCATACACACAACATGTACAGATGTATAGAAACTGGTATGTTTTTTCACATTTTAAAAATTATATAGCAAACACCATTAAACTTGACTAACATGCCTAACTTTCCTCAGTGTGAAAACAGTTTCTTTGAAAATTCTGGGAAATTTAATATGAGTGTATATGTGTTCAGGATAGAGGGTAAAAAATGCTATATCCTGTTGAGAAAAAGTGTTAAACCAAGAAAATAACTCTCAATTCAATTTCACTTAAGATTACACATTTTTGTGTGTGTTAGAGTCTAAAATGACACCATTATTCATCTCTTAAATTTGTTTCCTCAAGAAAAAAACTAGTTTCTTCCAAATATAAATACCAAAACTTTAAGAAACTATTATATAAATTCAGTATAAAATTCTAGCAGCTAAACACAATGACTTCATATTTGAAAAAACTTATTTATTCAAGATTATGAAATGCAAGTATTAAAATTACCTGAGACTAAGGTAAAAATGAAGACTTCAAGGAAGGGAATGCTGTAGAGTTGAAAAAGAAATCATGGTTGAGTTTCCACCTTTCATAGACTTCAGAAATCCTCAATACCACCTTAATCACTTATGCCATCCAATTCCTACAATAAACACACACACAACAAACATTATTAATGGTAGGAAAAAATACTATACAAATATAATATATGCAAATTGGTATGAATACTGAAGTGAAAATTCTTTCTAAATATAGTAAGTTATGACTCAATGATCAATGTACTGACTTGTTTTTATGTTTGAAATTGAACAAATGCAATAGTAGTAAGTAGACGGTAAATGAGAAATAAACTTGGCCTTATAAAGAACAACTGCCGGCCAGTCACGGTGGCTCATGCCTGTAATCCCAGCACTTTAGGAGGCCGAGGCAGGCAGATTACAAGGTCAGGAGATCGAGACCATCCTGGCTAACACAATGAAATCCCATCTCTACTAAAAATACCAAAAATTAGCCGGGCGTGGTGGCGGGCGTGTATAGTCCCAGCTACTCGGGAGGCTGAGGCAGGAGAATGGCATGAACCCGGGGAGCAGTGCTTGCAGTGAGCCGAGAATGCGCCACTGCACTCCAGCCTGGGCAACAAAGCGAGACTCTGTCTCAAAAACACAAAAAACAAAAAACAATTGCCTAGATGTGGAATCTACAGCCTCAAAGATACAGGATATTCAAGGAAATTCAGAGAATTACAGACCTAAAAGGTTAGAAAAAACAAAACTTAAGAAACTACTTACAAACACTAATCACATCTGCTTTGTTAAAGTCTATGAAGTGAAGAGAGAAGAAACACAATGGCAGGCCTTACAAACAAACAGAACTAATGGCATGCCAAAACTTAAAAGAAACTATTATATAAATTCAACATAAAATTCTAGTGGCCAAAAACAATAGAAACAATTATGGTTATAAAATCAGATTAAATATTATCAGCAAGATTACCACCAACAGGAAAAAGCTGACAAAAAAGATAGATAAAAATATATGGAAAATTTTTAGCACGTTCAAAACAAAAACAGAGTATAGGCTATACACAGGAAGAAAACTTCCTGACAGTAAGTATTCAGAGCATAGTTAACAGACTAAAGATTTTATGGAATTTCCTACCCTGGAGGTTCTTAAAATATTAGATTCCTATCTATCAAGAATAGTTTGCAAACACTCCTTCACAAGAAGTGTGGACACCAGATGATACATGAAAGATCCTATGATTTTACATTAGCTTAGGATGGTGCAAAGGCAAAAAGAATAGTCTTTCCCACCTACATCCATATCAGTAATGATTTCCTCTTTGAACTTCAGAAAGTATATTAATTCATTTTTTAAAAAACATTTCAACAGTTTACATATTTTTTTAAAAGTCCAAATTCTTATAGAGCTGTTCACCTCTCAGTACTCTTGCATTTCAGAATTTTCCTGGATATTCACGTATATCTCTTTTTCCAGATACACTTTCATGCAAAATAAAATTTCTTTTCCTCAATAGGATTGTATCATATATAAACTATAGTGAAATGACAACAGTAACAATAAAAGGGGAGGGGCTCATCACAATCCAGAGTTGTTACAATATATTTTGTAAAATATCTATTATAGATATGTTAAATATGTTAAAAGGAACTCATGTTTTAAAGTTTTTTAATTATGAAAAACCGCAATCAACCAATAAGAGATCCTCAACAAAGATGCAGAAATTATGTAAAAGAACCAAATGGAAATCCTGAAGTTTAAGAATACAGTAACAGAAATAAAAAATTCATCAGAAGGGCTCAACAGATTTATGGCAAAAGAAAATCAGTGACTTTTAAGATACATCAATAGAAACCATCTACTCTGAAAAACAAGAGTGGAAAAAGATGGAAGCAAAATGAACAGAGCCTCAAAGACATGTGGAACAACATCCAGCTTACCAACATTTTGAGTACCAGGAAAGAAGGGAAGAAAAAAAAAATTAATAAAATATTGGCCAAAACGTGACAAATTTACTTTCTTTTTTTTTTAAGACGGAGTCTCGCTCAGTCACCCAGTCTGGAGTGTAATAGTGTGATCTCGGCTCACTGCAACCTGTGCCTCCCAAGTTCAAGCGATTCTCCTGCCTCAGCCTCCCAAGTAGCTGGGATTACAGGAACCCGCCATCATGCCTGGCTAATTTTTGTATTTTTGTAGAGACAGGGTTTCACCATGTTGGCCAAGCTGGTCTTGAACTCCTGACCTCAGGTGATGTGACCACCTTGGCCTCTCAAATCCCCACCTGTGCTGGGATTATAGGTATGAGCCACCATGCCTGGCCCCAAATTTAATTTTTCTAAGGAAAATAAATCTACAGATCTAAGAAGCACAATGAATTTAAAGTAGGAAAATATAAAGCAACCTACAACTGGACACAATGTAGTCAAACTTGTTGAAAGCAAACACAAGGAGAAAAATCTTGAAAGTAGGAAGAGAATAATGATTCAGCATACGCAGAGATTAGTGGCTAACTTCCAGTTAAAAACAATAGAGACAAGAAGACAGTGAAATCACATATTCAAAAAGTTGAAAGATACAGCTGTCAACCAAGAAGGCAGCAAAACTATCCTTCAAAAATGAAAAAATATTCCCAGATAACCAAAAATTGAGACAATTGTTTTTGCTAGCAGACCTGCCTTAAACAAACACCAAAGGAAGCCCATCAAGCTGAAAGGAAAAGACATCAGACTTAAATACACAGAAAGAATTGAAGAGCACCAGAAATGGCAAATATGTGGGTTAATTCAAAAAAGACTCTATAAACATATTTTTCTCATTTCTTCCTTCCTTTAAAACACCTAAGAATGTATAAAGCAATGATCACAACACTGTACTACTGGGTTTATAATATATAGAGAAGTATATTACAATAGCGGTACAATAAAGAAGAGAAAATGGACCTACATTGGAGGGAAGTTTCTTTATCTTACTGATAATAAGCAGCCTGTTAAAATGCATAATCCTGACAGCAACCACAAAGAAAATATCTTTAAAAATATACAGTTAAAAAAATAACTGGAGTAATTAAAATGGCACACTAAAAAGTATTTAACACAAAAGGCAATAGAGGAAACAAAGGAACAAAAACATAGGAGATATCTATCTATATCTATGTAGATACATATATATATAAAGGACCATATCATATATAAACCATAGTGAAATGACACTATATATACTTGCTTTATATATATGTATATATATCTTTTTATATGTGTGTGTGTGTATATATATTGTGTGTGTGTGTGTGTGTGTAGCAGGTACCAAAATGGCAAATGTAAATCCAACTATATCCCTAATTAAATATGAATGGTCTAAATAGTCCAATGGAAAGGCAACGACTGTCAGAAAGGACAGAAACACAAATTCCAACTATATGCTGTCAACAAAAGACATATCCTACATTCAAAACTGAAAGTAAAAGGATGGGGAAAAAAAGGATATACTATAGAAGCAGTACCCATAAGAGAGAGAATGGCTATATTAACATCAGATAAAACAGATAGAGACAACGAAAGACATTTCATAATAATAAACAGTCAAAACATCAGGAAGATATAACAATTGTGTATGCATCTAAAAAGAGTCCCAAAATAATGAAGCAGTAACTAACACGACTGAAAGGAAAAATTAAAAATTCAACAATTATATTTGGAGATCTCAATGTCTCACTCTAAATAAGTGATATAATAATTAGACAGAAAACTAGATGGCCGGGCGCAGTGGCTCAAGCCTGTAATCCCAGCACTTTGGGAGGCCGAGATGGGTGGATCACGAGGTCAGGAGATCGAGACCATCCTGGCTAACACGGTGAAACCCCGTCTCTACTAAAAAATACAAAAAACTAGCCGGGCGAGGTGGCGGGCGCCTGTAGTCCCAGCTACTCGGGAGGCTGAGGCAGGAGAATGGCGTAAACCCGGGAGGTGGGGCTTGCAGTGAGCTGAGATCCGGCCACTGTACTCCAGCCTGGGCGACACAGCGAGATTCCGTCTCAAAAAAAAAAAAAACTAGAAAGGACAGAGAAGACCGGAACCACACTATCAACCAACTACACGTAAGTGGCATATATTGAAAACACTACCAAACAATACTAGAATACATATTGTTTTAAAACATTCTCTAGGAAAGGCCACATGCTGGGCCACAAAATAAGTCTCACTAAATTTAAATGGATTGAAGTCATAAAAATATGTTGTCTGAGCCACACAAGGTGGCTCACGCCTGTAATCCCAACACTTCAGGAGCCTGAGGTGGACGGATTGCTTAAGCCCCGGAGTTCAAGACCAGCCTGGGCAACACAGCAAGACCCTGTCTTATAAACAAGTACATTTATATGTTCTCTAACCATACCAGAATTGAATTTGATATCAACTAAAAAACTGGGAAATCCACAAACATTTGGAAATTAAACTTCCAACTTCTAAATAACAAAGACAAAATGTAAAGGGAAATTAGAAAATATTTTTAACTGAATGAAAACGAAAAATATCAAAATTTACAGGATGCAGCTAAAGCAATACTTAAAATATATAGCATTAAATATATATTTGAAGAATTTCATATGTATCTTATCAAAAAATGTGAACTGATTCAAATACTCTTTCTTATTCTTCCATAGAGTTTCAATTTTTTTTTAAGTAATATGCTCCCAGGCATTTTTATCTTTGTAGTTGTCATTATGAATGTGTACCTCTTCTTCCATTATGAGCCCCAATACTTATTATTTATATTTTAAAAGATAATTATTTATGTATATTCATTTTCTTCCTAAAGACACCTGGCCAAACTAATTTACGAAAAAGAAGAAAAAGAAACAAAAGTTGAAGTATGAAGAGATTCATGTTATTCAGAGATGCTATAACCTGAAGGGAAAAGTGAGCCCTATAATCGATGATAAAGACCTTTTAAATCTAACACAGAACTGTTCTCCACTGCCCACCTCAGTCACGGAAGATGAGATTACTATATTCAACAATAAAAAATGAAAACTTCTGTTGGGCAAAATAATAAAATCAAAAGATGAGCAAAACTTGAGCAAAAGTAATCTAATAAATGACAAGAGGCTCACAAAGAAATGGTAAATATATAAAGTGATGAAAATACTCTAATTAGCCAGATGTGATCATTACACAACAATGTTTTAATAGTGTATAAAATTTAAATGTACACCATGTATGTTACCATAAATATACACTATATATGTGTCAAGTAAAAATAAAAAACATTACACCCTCATAAGTGTATACAATTGTCAACTGGAAAACTTAAAAAAAAAAATGGCAAGAGGCTCCTTTCCTTAATATACAAAAACATAAAGAGCTCCATAAAACGGCAAAGCACATGACCAAATCGGTAACTGAAAACATACATTATGGCCAATAATAAGGGGGAAAATCTTCAAACTCATTCGTAAGAAAAGCAAAGCTAATCAACAAAAAACTGACAAATATTAAAAAGTTTGACACTAGCTAGTGTTGTCAAAGAGATACAGAGATCCGCTCTCTCACAGACTACTGATATTTGGCCTTCTTTTTAGAGTTAGGCAATTTATCCACCAAATTGTTAAATGTACATAATCTTCAGTCCAATGATTTTTCCCTTCAGAATTTATACTACAGATATATATATATATATATTTTTTTTTTTAATTTAAGACAGAGTCTTGCTCTGTTGCCCAGGCTGGAATGCAGTGGTGGCATCTTGGCTCACCACAACCTCCGCCTCCTGGGTTTAAGCAATTCTTCAGCCTCAGTCTCCTGAGTAGCTGGGATAACAGGCACCCACCACCATGCCTGGCTAATTTTTGTATTTTTAGTAGAGCTGGGGTTTCACCATGTTGGCCAAGCTAGTCTCGAACTCCTGACCTCAAGTGATCCACCTGCCTTGGCCTCCCAAAATGCTGGAATTACAGGCATAAGCCACCACACCTAGCCAGATAAATTTTTAAATATGTGCAAAGGTGTACCCAAGAATATTCACTACATCATCATTTACAATAGCAAAAAAAGGGGGCTAAATATCCATAAGTAGATGACTAGTTAGAAAAATTATGATATGTCCAAATATTAGAATACTATGCAGCATAAAATGAGAAGGAATGATTTGCAAAAATGTGGAAGTTTATTTTTTTAATATTACTGAATAATATGGTGTGATCTCATTTGTGTAAAAAACTGTGTAAATATAAGCACACACATAAATGCTTGTATATGTATAGAAATTGTCTGCAAGGATATACAATGATTATACCGAATAGGAAAGGGTTGGAAAGCCTTTTTTCGATGTTATAACATTCTCTATTGCCTAAGTGTATACACCTAATATAATAAACATGAGTAAAGAAGTGAAAAATATTGACCATAACAATTATCAGAAGATGAGGAAAAACTAGGAAAATCCTAAAATATGGCCACTGAAACTCCAAATAATTTCAATACACAAGGTGAAAAAGAATTCTCAGGCTGAGCGCAGTGGCTCAGGTCTATAATCCCAGCACTTTGGAGGCCAAGGCAGATGGATTGCTTGAGCTCAGAAGTTCAAGATCCGCCTGGGCAACATGGCAAAATGCTATCTCAACAAAAAAAAACACAAAAGTTAGCCAGGTAGGGTGGCCTGTGCCTGTGGTCCCAGTTACTTGGGAGGCCTGAGGTGGGTGGATCACTTGAGCCCCGCAGACAGAGGTTGCAGTGAGCCAAGATCACACCACTGTACTCCAGCCTGGGCAACAGGGCAAAAACCCTACCTCAAAAAACAAAAAAATTCTCAAAAAACAAATTTTAAAATGCAGAGAGAAACTTTAGAATTTTTATGATCAGGCCAGGTACAGTGACTCACACCTGTAATCCTAGCACTTTGGGAGGCTGAGGCAAGAGGACTACTTGAGTTCAGGGGTTCAGGACCTGCCTGGGCAACATAGTCGAGACCCTGTCTCTATAAAAAAAATAAAAAAATTAAAAATACAACAAATAGAATAATTTTTATGATCATTAAAAATTGACATGAGTATGTGCCACCGACAGATATGTAAACTCTTTGAAAACTGTTAGATAATTTCTTTCATGTTGTATGAAAGATAAAAGCATAGGTTTAATATATGCACCAACATAGGCCAACAAGAAAGGAGAGGATCATTTGCCTTCCTAACATAGAGGCCTAAAAGAAGATATGCAAGTAATCTTAAGAGAAGATAATGGACCTAATCTTATAAAATTAACAATGTCATTTTCTATGTACATATGTCCATATCTACATATTATTTATAATATTTATAATAGTGATGTTATTTATATGAATATAAAAAGGGATTGGCCATAAATGCACACTTATACCCAACAGTTACTGTAAGTATGTGTAGTAACATGGGCATCTATCACAGGTAAAAATTAAAGATTGAGTCAAACAATGCTGAATTACCTCCATTAAATATGTCAGGCAAACGCCCATCCCGCCAGATCACGTGCTTGAATTTTCAAACTGCTGATTCCTCCCTCTATCCTACAAAAGTACACAAATACAGGTTATCCCCCAAAAGAATCAGGATTAAACACAGTCTTAAAGTCAGGTAAAATTGTTACATTTAAGTGTCCTAAGTTTAACAAAATTCTTACCATGGTAGATACTGTTAAATAAAATTAGTAACAACTAACACTTCGTCTGAGTACAATGACCCATCAATGCTAAATGATATTACAACAATGACTCAGATACAAATTGGACTTTTTCCAACTTAACTTCCAGTGAAGGATTAAGATTTCTTTGAAGTCAGGACAATAACCTTGACAATCATCTTAAATATCCTAAAATAGGAAGGAAAGCACAAATGTGTTTCATTAAAATCATATTCTGACACTCTCCAACACTCAAATAGCACTATTTTCTTGATAAACTCTTATAGTAACATTTCCCTCAGCTGAAAAAATCTAAATATATTAAGGATGCAGTTTTTGAAAATACAAACATAAGCATCTTAAAAGTTCAAAGCAAAAGGTATTTAATAATGCTAAAATGGTCCATCAATATTTTTTAAACATTATGCTATAATCAACCTTTTAGCAGAGACTAACACAGAAAATTAACATTCCACATTGGTACTGCATTGATACCAACCACAGATCACTTTATTCATGTAACTGGGATTTTTCCCAAGTATATTAAATGAAAGTAATGAAGACTGAAAGTTGAATTATCAGAAATAAAGAACAAGCCAAATATAATTTTATTCAGAAACAATAGGTAAAGCATTTTATGTAACAGTCCTAATACAAGTTTAGGGATCCATAAATACCTTGCACATCAATAAAAGCCATAAATGTAAAAGCAGGGTATTTTCTAGAAATTGATAATCTCTAGAAAATAACCAAGTATATCAACTCAAGGTTGTATTTACATATGCTTTATCAAGAAACTACAAACAGTACAGTCTTTCTGATAATTTAGCATTTTCCAGTACTTAGCTAGTCAGTAGCTTTGTTACTGAGCTAGTTACAAAAAAATATACTTTAAAATACTTTATTTCTACTAAGCTCCTAATTGCCTGCCTCAATGTTTTGCAGCCAAGCATTCAAAAGCATATATATGTCATTCCTCTCAATTATGCAAAGTTATTTTAAGTACATACTTCTATAGCAAGAGTACCAAAAGGATAATAAAAGCTATAAAACTATACTACTAAGTTAGACACTATTAAAAATGGGTAAAGCAAAATTATGTTAAATTAAATTAGGTCTAAAGCTGCCCCTCTGGGTAGCCAACAAAACCTAACTTACTATGTAAACAAACTGCTACCTAATTTAAGAGTATATTTTTGTAACAAGTAGCTGAGTCTCAGCAAATCACAGTAGCCAAGCCTCAGCCAATTACAGACTGTCACCTGATAAGACTATGTCCATATAAGGCAAATGCCAAGAGGTAACCAATCAAGCTATTTCTGCTTGTCATTTGCTTTTTCCGTGTATAAATACTGCCTGCCTATGTTGCTGGGTGGAGCTCTCCAAACCTCTTCTGGTTCAGAGTGCTGCCTGATTTATGAATAGTTCTTTGCACAGATATGTACGCTCTGCTAAATTTGTCTAAAGTTCTTCTTTTAACAACTGTTTCTGCATTACACTGCCGCTGTTCAGTATTCTATTAGAATATTATATATTCTGTCCATATATTGCTACATACATTACTATATCCAACTTTTAGAATTGCTAATTACAAGAATAAAATTGAACAGAAAAGGACACTGCAAAACCTATATAAGGGGAAAAAATGTCTTCACATTATGCATTTTAACATTATGAGTCTTTTAAAAAGTTGATGTGATGTAGCTACTCCACAATCAGGATATTATTACACAACTCATCATGAGCTAGTAACATCTACAGACTGGACAAATGTTTTTGAAATCTTAATATTCAGTCGAACACATTTTCACAAAAAGCATACTCACCTTCTTGCATCACATTTTATTGAAAGCACTAGATTACTGCTGTCATACATCAAAGAATATAACTTAGATATGTAAAAAGAAAACAAAAATAAAATAGTGAAGCAAGAAGGAAAAGTAAACATGCATACACACAAAATAATATAACCTCAAAGTATAAATTTATAAACAGAAATTCTAGAATGTCTTTCCCACACAACCATTCCTCTACCATGTAAACCCACAATTACCCCCAAGTCACCTGTCACATAGTCTGTCTCTGGAACCCTAATTCATTTAGCATCATCTACTAATTTCATGTCTTCAAGCCTCTATCCCCCTTTCTCCTCTTCCACTCCTCTCAACCAAGAATGGGGAGAAGAGAACCTACTAAGCTGGAAACTGAAACCAAGCAAATACAAAAAGGCAGATGTAAAATTACTTGGACAACCACCCAAGTCAGTTCAGAACTTACTCTTTCCTTGCCCTACTACCCCACTTCAGCAGTCAGTGAATATTCCTGCTTAGCAATTCTTTTAACATTTTGCTGGCTAAATAATCTTTGATTATAAACACTTGGGCAGATATAAACAGATTAAGACTAAAAATATACAGATGTTCCTTGACTTATGAAGAGGTTATTTCCCAATAAGTAACAAGTTTATGCCTATAACTAAATGCCTATGCCTTTTGCATCATCATAAAGTCAAAAAATCCTAAATCAAACCACTGTAAGTAGGGAACTATTATATTTTAAAGTAAGAGTTTTATTGTATCTATGCTATCAATCAAGATAGTAGTTGTTTCCTATCAACCAATGACAGCAAATGTTAACAGATATATAATATACATAAAGACTTTTCGTTTTACATGGTATAAACTTGTATACCCATATAATATTTAAGGAAATTTTCTACTAATACCAATTTGAATAATTATGGCACAGAAATAAAATACATAAATATTTTGCAGAGGCCATTAGCTACCACCCTTCCACTATTTAGCTTTGATAGACTGGCAATGTTCCAATATACTTACTAGCAGGTGGTCCGATGTATTAATTAAGCCAACATTTTTGTCATTAATTTAGTCAACATTTTTTATCACATGATATATATTTACAACACATTAAGATTCCTAAGACATAATAAAATACCCTGGTCTCTGTCCAAAGGCATTCATAATTTAGCAAGGATGATAAGCACATACAGAGTAAATGTTTGTGATAATAATGTGATACAATTGAAGCATAAGCAATTTATCATAGAAAAGTCAAAGCAGTGATCAATTAACTCTCCCTATGCTACCTTTTCAAAAGAAAAGGAAGAAGGTGATCTCTTAATGTTGATTCCACATGTAAGAATATATGCAATATATAAGTAATGAATATATGCTTTGGACTCTGCTCAGTAGTGTTCCTAGGACACTACAGGTATTAACTCAATCAAAACAACAAGCCTATGAGATTGGTATTGTTATTATTCACATTTTACAGATGACAAAACTAAAAGGTTATATAATTTACCAAAGAATATGAAAGTAGTAAGAGGCAGAACCAAACTCCTTATAAGGGTCTACAAAGCCTTACATGCACTACTGTGCTTATCCCCCACCCATCAACGACCACCTCCAACACTACCCACCCTCATCTTTCAGACCTCATTTTCTATCCTCTCCCCTTGTTCACTCCACTCCAGCAGCAGTGACCTGACCTCCTTATTGCCCCAGAATCTCCAGCATGCAGCAGAATCTACTGCACTGGCTGTTCCTCTGTCTGGAACACTCTTCCTCGAGAGATCTTTGTAACTAAATCCTTTAGCTACTACAAAGTCTTGCTAAAGTCTTGTTAATGAGGCCTCTTCCAGTCACACCATTTAAAATTGCAACATTCCACCATATACATTCAATCCCCCTTTTATCCTGTTATACATTTTGCACAGTACTGCCCACCTCCTAACATATTACACAACCTACTTATTTATGTTTTTTTTTCCTGCCCTAACTATAAGCTACACAAGAGAAAAAATTTTTGCCTGTTTTATCCACTGATATATCCCAAGTGCCTAAACCAGTGCCTTACACATAAGAGACGCAGTATTTTTTAAATTATTAGTAAAGCTGGAATTTCCTCCCAGGAAAATCAGGCTCTAGAAGCTTAACCACCATACAACACTCTCTTTCTAATTATGGAATCATAGATAACAACACTAAGGCATGCAGAAAAGTCACCCAAGGTCACATTAACCTAACAAAATGGTGAAACTTGGTCTCAAAACCAGCCTAAATGGAGTTTGGCAACATTACGTTACCCTTAGAATTTCCAGAAAAAGACTTGACTGTCTTAACAATAAAGAAATTCAACCTACTGATAAGTCTACTATGAGCTTTATGAAACACTGTATCAAATGCACCATGATAATTCTTAGCAACATAAATAGGTTAGTCCAATCTAACTTAATTTCCATTCTTTGTTTAAAAATAATGCTAGTAACAAATTTCAGAAGTACTCCTTCAGAAGAGCTACAAAAACTGCATGCACGTTGCAACAGATAGGAAGAGCTTCTTTTGTATTTTCAAATATTTCACATTTCATGTTTTCAAATATTTCACATTTCATGTAGACAGTTTCTACTGATACAATATTTTCAAAGTATATCTTTATGTTGTTTGCAGAGTATACTTTTAGCCCACCAAATTATGTTTTAACTGTCATCTTTGCCTAGAAAAGTAAGATTGCTAAAGATGAAGTTTTATGAATTAACGTAGCAAGATCCAGATAAAAGATGTGTTAGAAGAAACTCCTACAAAAATTCTGTCAAGAATATAAATTTCTAAGGCAATAAATAAAACCTTAATGTTACTCCTAAGTATGACCATCCTTTGAAAAGCCATTCATTGATAAAGAACATAGTTCTTGGTTAATTAAGGCAATCTTTCTAGAAAATCATTTTTAAAGTTTCAATGAAATGCATAATGCTTACAAAAACATTTTAACTGTTTATACTCCCAGGAGCTCTATCAAATAAAAAGACTACCTCTGCCCTTTAAATCAAAAGCCCAAAGCAATGAAAAGATAAATTACAGC